GCGTGGGGTCCAACAGCAGCTGCAGCCGGGGGCTGTGCCCTTCTGCCCCATTACCCCATCAGCATGGGGCAAAGGAGTTGGATGGGGATGGCCACAGCTGACCTTGTCCTCAGGGCTTACCAGGGAGCATGACTTTGAGCTCCCACAAACTTTGTGGGGCTCAGACTCAGACCCACCTGGGAGGGGCTGGTCCTTTCCAGTGCCCCAGCCTATAGAGAGCCTTCTGTCTTTCTCTCTGGGGCTGAAGCCTTCGTAAACAATTAACAGAGCTCTGAGGCGCTGGCACCCCAAGCCAGTCACAAGTGCATGCTCATCCTATGAGCCATCACTCTGCAGTGCTTAAATATCCTACCCCTACCCCCAGACTAATGTACAACTTTAGAGACCCCCCTTTTGCACATCTGGTTGCCTTCCCCACTGGGTAGTGAGGCCCCTTGAGGATGTGGAGGCATAATTCAAATCATTCCCTCCTGTCACATGAGGAACATGGGCTCCCAGAACTATTCCTCGTGGCTTCCTCCTCGGGTCTCCAGAGAAGGAAATTCCTCCCAGTCTACAGCCAGATATGGGGAGCTGCCTTAGAGCCTTACGGCTTGTCTCAGGTACCTCTATTACAGCCACATCAGAATATGCTCCTAAAACCTGCAAGGCCAAGGCTGGAGGTTTTGCTGAGAGAAGGAGGAGCAGGATCTTGCAAAGCTGAGGGAACCAGCTCTCCAGTTTGGTTTTAAATTATCTTGATGCATTTTGGGAGGATGGGAGTATTTCTTGTGACAGTAAGAGACAGATGAGAGCAAGGCACAATGTGGGTAGGGGCTGGGCAAACACCCTACCATGCTCACAGCCAAACCCTTTCATCTCAGTCCTGGTCCCTTGTTATTCTAGCCCTGGGCTGTCCCCATGGTTCTGCCAATACCCCTCTATCCCAACTTGGAGCCCTCTCTGCCAGCTTCCCTGAATCTGAGTTGTGGCCCTGCTACTATTGTAGCCTTGGACTAGTGTCCCACTGGCTATGAAATGGTGGCTTCTACAGTGGATGTCAAAACATGAGTTGATGCCTAGCAAAGGCTGTGATACAGGGAGGCCCAGAAAGCCCACGTCACTGGTGACTCACATTAAATTAGAGCCCAGGTCCCTGGAAGTGAAGGGCAAGAGTGTCTGCGCATGAGACTGAAACCTGGATCCACTTCAGTGCCAAAGAAAACCATCTGGAGCAGGTATTCTTGCCCTTTGTCTATGAAGGAAAGGGCCTTGATCCAACCCGTTGGCCCCCCATCTTTGTCACTGTGCCATGGGGCCTTGGATGCCTGCAGGGATTTGAGAGTGGGGTTGGTGCTCTGTGCCCACCTGGGGACAAACGCAACACTGACAGTTCCTCGCCAGGCCATCTGAGGCCAAGGTCTTCCCTTCTGTGGGTTCTGAAGTTTCTCTCCCCACCTCTTTTAGCAGCAGGAGCCTACTCAGTTTGCTTGATGCTGGGACCACTGTGGAAGCCCACAACCAAAGTGCAGTCTTCCATGCCCTACTGCTACCTCTCTGACCACACACTTTAGATCCCCTTGAAGGTCAAATGTGTTACACAGCACCCCTCCCCACCATGCCATGAAGGATGGGGCTGCTGCTCCCAGCACACGCTGCTCGGATCAGGGTGGTGGCTAATTGAGTTTCCTAGAGGCATCTGCGCCCTGCATCATACTACACATCAGCTGCAGCTCAGGGCCTTGTGAGGTGGGGGTGCCCCACTTGGCTCAGCTGCCCTTAGTGCCTTGGATGTTCTAGACCAGCCCTTTGTAATGTCCTTGGTTAATTTAATATTTCCTGCCTTTGTACAGTCGCTGTTACCTTTTTTTGGTACTGTTAATAAAACCCTGACTGGCCAGTTCTTTCAATGCCATCTGGGGCCTTTGTGTTTGCTGTTGCTCTCAAAGAGCTGTGTGCACCAGCCTGGGCAACTGATTCCTCTTGGTGTGTCTACGTGTCACCGTACAGTAATGTTATTGCGCTGTGTTTTAGTACTTCCTTTTGGAAGTACTAAAATATGGCGCAGTAAGCACCTGTAACATTGCTGTAGTGGCACACTATGGTGATGTAGCTAGTGATCATGTGTAGATGAACATCACTGTAGTAGGGAGCCTGCTGGTATGGTGATGTCGCTAGCAGGCTCACGTGATCTCTTCAGCACTGTAGCTCACTGTACAGCAAAGCAGTGCATTGCTACTTTGGTGTAGGGCGATGTGTAGATGTGCCCCTTATGTAGGACAGTGGCAAGATTGGCTGGCTTCTGCCCCTGGTGCTTGGGCTTGTGGTGGAGAAGGTGCTGGGAATAGAGGCATGAGCTTGCAAACAATATCACTGGGAGCCAGAAGGTGCTTTGCCTGTTCGTCTATCAGGAGGTAAGAGGTGACCTGAACAGGCTATACTTCCTCCCTGGGGAAAAGAGCTAAAGCTCAAGGGCTTTTGCTTTCTACCGCAGTTGATCCAGTCACTCTGAATTGAGTCGGGTCAGCACCTGGAGGGGTGAAGATATCTTACGTGGAGCTTTTTAAGGGAGATGTAGCTGACCCCAGTGACCAGGTGGGGTGCAGGAACAACAGGACAATGACTCTGGCCTGTGTTTCATGGGTGGTCAGACCATGTAGTCCCAATTGATCTTCCTGCCCTGAGAACTATGAAGAGAGCAGCTGTCTTGTCCATCCCTATCCACAGAGGTCAATTCCTTTGGGCTGTAGAAGTGCCATCAACTGTCTACAGATGTGGCCAGGGTAGTGCAAACCGCAGGGTGCTCCCATTGCCGCTCTGGCCAGCTGGGGCATGGCAGAGCTCCATGGGGCAAGAGAGCCGGGGATGGGGAAATACTGAGTCAAAGCTACCCCTGAGCAGGGTGGAAGGGAAAGGAGGTACTGCCTGGAGGGAAGTAGGGAGGAGCTCAGAGTCCTGACAACAACCTAGGGGCGAGAGTCAGGGAGTGATGGGGGGGACAGCATGCCCAGGGTCAGCTGTGGCTTAAGGACCACAGAGAGGGCACAGGCTGACAATTCAGGGACATTGTTGGTGTGAACTTGAGAGTTGAATCCTGGTGGGTAGGTTCCCAGTGTTCTCCAGCAGGTGACACTGTGAGCCTTGAGGAGGCTTGGGGGAGATCATAGGAAAGCAGGGCTGGAAGGGACCTCACAAGGTCATCTTCTGGTCCAGCCCCCTGCAAGGGAGGATCATCCCTGACTAAATCTTCCCAGCCAAATGTCTCTCCAGCCTGCTCTTGAAAACTTCCAAGGATGGCATTTCCAGTTTCTTAGCCTGTTCCAATGCTGACCCCACACATAGGAAGTTCCTCTGAATCTCCAACCTAAATTTCTTCTGCTGCAGTTTAAGGCTGTTGCTCCTAGTCCTGTTCCCTGCAGCTGGAGAAAAGCTCATCTCCATCCTCTCTATAATCACCCTTCAGGTATTTGAAGGCCATAGGGCGATTATAAATGTTTGCACTGGCTCTGTCAGCCCATTCCCAGGTTCCTGCCAGTGTAACTGAGGTGCTGGGTGGGCTCAGCTTTATGCAGTGAGCTACATTGCACAACGCTGCTCTGCTTGGGGGAGGCAGGGGGGAAGGGAGTGGGGCCAAAGAGTGCTGTGGCAGAGGATGATCCTGCCACATTGGGGGCTGGCTGAGATTTAGGGAGATCTGTTGTATTTGATGCCTGTAGTGAGCACCTGCTCAGATGAGGCTGCCAGGGATTGGGTGTGTCTGGGGGCCTGAACCAGGGCTGGATAGCAGAAAACAGGGTAGGCTCCTTGAAGGCAGCCCTGGAGTCTGGGGTGTAGGAATGACTGGCCTCTGCTGTGTCCTGCTGCAGACCCAGGGGCTAGGACCTGGGTGCCACAGCCCTGAGGGGGATCACAGGACCAGGGCATCAAGGTGTCAGGTATGGACCCCAGCCCCCTCCTGTTGTACAGGATGATGCTTTGTGCTTGGGCACCCATGCAATCTGGACAAGCAGACTTGGGTGCGTTCAATCTCATGATACCCTTTGCTAAAGCAGTGGACCTGAAGAAGCAACAAGGCCTGCTCGGGAACCCTTGACAGGCAGGAGCTATCCTTATGGTGATGCCTCACTTAACAGCAAAGCTTTCTTATACTGGGGGGGGTCTCTTGGGCCTGTGGCCTTCTATGAGAGAGCTGCCTATGCTAGCCACGCTAGCTGGTGAAGAAGTACCTCTGTTTCTGGAGCAGCCAAAGCAGCACTGTCTGAGCTAAATTTACTGCAGATACTCCTCCCTCGGCTTCCCTGTGGCATTGCCCTGCTCCAGGTTTCTGCCCGCCTCAGGCTCCTCCTTGCCAGGAGCTGTGTCAGTACCCAGGGTGCTGTTCTGTCAGTGATTCATTTCCAGTGAGTGAAGCCCATTTTCCAAAGGGACTTCATCATTGGGAACAGTGGTGGCCCAATTCAAGGCTCCAGAGCCACAACCCAGTGGGAGTACTAGGCTCCTGCTGAGCTGCCACAGGCGGGGCACCTAAAGTATTGGCCATGTTTGTCCAGGCCTATGGTTGCTGGCCTCTTCCTCTGCCTCCAGGAGGCCCAAAGACTAATTTTCCCCTTGCTCAGGCTGTGATGTGTCTCTGGCCTTGTCTGTTGTGTTTAGCTGCCCTCGTGCAGCACAGATGTGCTA